GTAAGTGCATTGAGTGAAGACCTGGCGATATAGTGATGAGGAGTTTGTCGTGAAGTCTTGACTCCCACTGTCTCTCACAGGCGTACGATTGGCTCAATAGTGTCCGCACCGGCACTCCAGACACTCGTCCACCTCTCAGCAGATCCGCTGATTTAAGACACAAATGGTGTGAACGAAACACTTTGAAGACATTCATCATTCAATGCTTGCATTCATTCAATGTTTTCAAACTTTCACTTGTTTTCAATGTTTAGTCAATAATAGCTGTCGAGTGTCGACACCTGACGGCACACAACACTAACACTCTATCATATTCTGTGATATTCTGTAAGTATTGTTCACTTTAAGCCTATATAGCCTTTACGTGAATTGATGTGATAACTGTTAACTGGGTAACCGTCACTAACATTATACTGTATGTTATGTTTACTATAACAGCTATACATACATGTGTATATTCTATACACTAATCTGTTGTCTATTTAATATAATATTAATTATTAATTTTTATTTAAATTTACTTAAAATTAAATATGTTATTTAACATATAAATTATTATTAATACTTTTATTGGTTACATTGGGTCATAAATTAATGTTGTGTTTAAATTGATATAATTTAAAGTTGGTATAATTTAATTGATACACTTATTCTTAAATAAATTGTGGAAACATTTTAAAGTCGGGTAAAATGTGATAAAATTGAGTGCAATATTATAACTGATTTTCTTCGGTCTCAATGATAGGCTCGAAGTGTTGGAAATTCTCGTAAAGAGGGGTTTCATCGATTGACTCGGATTTATTGTCGCGAGAATTGACGCCAATATTTCTGGGATTAGTTATCGGTTTCTTTCTAACCCATGATTTTTGTAGTCGAGAGAAACGATTGGACAGATTTTTCTTTCGTAAACCGGCGTAAACTCGACTAATGTGTTGCTTTAGATAAGAAAATTATTTAATTTGAAGCAAACGATTATATTTCCATATTTTTACCTCATTTGTGTCTTTGCTGTCTTTATTTTGATGATTGGGTTTAGTTCTTATGACTTCTTTAATGTCTGCAAATTATCACAATTTATAGCAACCATTCAAACATTAAATTAAATTATTGTAACAAACTTATAAAGAATCGAAATATTTGCACTTAAATAGCATTTATAAATACATTAATTCCCTCGAAATTTATATCTTCCCAAAAGTGTCTTATAATAATTGTATAATAAAATTATAACCAATGAATTGTCTCATATTTGGTCCGTTAAACAAATATGAATATACAGTACAGTACCGGCAAAATAGTCTTCATAGCTTTGAAGGACATCTATACCAAAGAATTCTGCCGTTTCGTCGGGAAATCTCAAGTCCGAGAAGAATATAATTACTCCAAGAAACACACAAAATAGTCCTTAAAATTAAATTGCGTTTAAAAGTTAAGTTGAATTACAAAATGTGTAACATTTCAAACCATTTATAAGATTTAAATAAAAGCACCAGGCATACTGTGGCTCCAGATATACAGTACGTCCAGTGAATTCTTCAAACGGAATTCTTAATGGTATTGGGTTTCTAAGCAGTGAATACAGAATATTAGCGCTTATTAGAGAGAAACCGGTCATCAGTAGGAATAGAGCGCCGTATTGTATAACCATTTGAAACAATATGTTTGCCAATAAGAATAGCGGAACCGAAAGCCTATCAAACAAATAGCAAATTAATGAGACATTTTGGATGAATATTGTAATACAGACCACATTATGATATGTGTGTACCAACCACTCAACCGATAGTTACGGCCCCAACGGATCCCTTCGCCATCAAACGTAAAATATTCGGCGACCCATAGGATAGCATTAGGAAGTCCTTTGTATTGCGAATACCGATATTGTTTGTGAAATTGTCCCGCTTTTCAATGCATTGTATAATTCAGTAAAACTTTTCTATAAATGTAATCATATAAGAGCTAAACCTTGTGGACCGAAGCCAACCCTTCCCTGATTCCATTCCCATGAGAACCGCTCGTTATAATCGATGGTCTCTCCCAACTGTTTCTCGGGAATGCCTTTAAGTGTAATATTAATGCCTCGAAGTCCGATATTGAGACCAATGGATGCGTTTATATGAGCGCCGGTCCCGGCCTTGTATTGAACCATAGCGTCCACAGAATGTCTTTCCCATTCATTCTCAAAGTTACAGACTTTTCCAGATTTAGTGTCTTTTCATATTCTTTATTATAAAATACTTACGAAATATTGATATTCCGATGAAAAGGCTGGCAAAACATCGAACAGAAATAAATAATCGCTTTTATAAACATATGAAAGATAGAAACAACTTGTTAAAATTGTTGAATATGCATATTATTAATTATAATTACCTCTTTGCCTCGAAATCCGGGTAATATAACAACTATTGATATAATAATTGAAATAAATGCAAATATAAGAGAATACACTTCAATATCAACGGAAGCCGGAGTTTTGTGGGAGCCATAAGTGGTCGGAAAGCCTTCTGAACGAAAAGCTTGATATAAATTTGTTTCACGAATCCGTTCATAAGATTCCATTGTGTTTACAATTTACTAATTGTTTAATATTTGTTTGTAATAAATTATTATACAATAGCTTTTCCTAATACATCTTTATGTAATATTCAACAAAAGTGATATATTTATTAATATTAAAGCATAACAGGAATACATTCACGTCTTCCCAGTTAAACCTCACATCCTTTTAAGCTATCCTTCCGTTAGATAATGCTATTCACAACTTTTAACACAAAAACCACAAATTTATCACTAATTTATAAAAATTGCCTCTAAATTAACACTAACTATAGTTTTTTCATTAACATTATCTTACATATTGCACGTATTTAATTTATAACACGTAGACAAATCCATTACGGTGGTAACATTGCGGTTATATAGACCTACATGTAATTGGATTAGTTAGTGTAACATTAAATTCACACCGAGTATTGTCATTCGTTGAATGTATTCATGAAAATAATATGCACTAATAATAAGTATTGTCCATCACTTTCAAAAAGTATTCATTTTTATTATAAAATAATACCTATAATACAGAGTCATATCGATTGCAAGATAATTGGAAAACTCTTTATGGAAACAAATTATTTAATTGTATTAAAATGTGACACAATTGTAATGCAATTGTTCGTATGTTTGGGTATTTATATATAAAATCATTTATACAATAATTGTAATTCATTTTGAAAATATATTTCCAATAAAAAGCAAATTATTTGACAAAAATTAAACTAAA